TTTTTGGATTTTTTCGGTAAAGTTTGCATACAAACATATAATTAACTTGTACTCCAAATATTTTTTTAGTCCAATCAAAACACAATTATCTAAGGTATTTCTTAAAAAAAATAACACAAAATATGAGATGGATATTGATGACACAAAAATATTTAACAAAAAATAATGATGAATTAATCATCATATAAAATAAAAATTGTAAAGTCATAATGAAAATAATCATAATCTAAAAGTACTAAACCATGCTAAAATAAGTTTATTAAGTGTTAGTTACATTACTAAATATTTAATAAAAATTAAAATTAAATTATCTATTTTAATTGTCTAAACCAATGTAAAACTAAAGAACAAATATTCAATATTATTGTCATTCTTAGTGTTGAATTGATTTTTTTTTTGCATTAGTATTAGTTTGAGTTTGATTTAAGATTTATTATAATTGTCAACATTTATGAACTATAATCTTTATCGGACCATTTCGAATTTTAAGTTTTAAACTTGAAATAATATATTAAAGGATAAAAGTATGAAACAGTATAAGAAATATTTTAAAACGAAAAAGGCCTAAAATACCCTTAAAGTATTGAAAATGGTACAAAATTACCCTCCATCCACCTATTGGCTCCAAAATACCCTTCCTACCCACCTATTGGGTCCAAAATACCCTTGTCATCCACCTTTTGATTCAAAATTGACCACTTATTTAACGGTTTTATATTTAATCTATTTTTTTTAAATACGTGGCGCTCAACTATTTGTTATAATTTAACTTATTAATATAATTTATAGGGAAAAGGGTCTGATATACCCCTCAACTTTGTCATTTAGAGCTGATATACCCCTTGTTATGAAAGTGGCTCATATATACCCTTACTTGTAAACAAATGACTCACATATACCCTCTTCCTCTAACGGAAATGGAAAAAAATAATTTTAATCTAAATTTTTATTATTTTTTCTAAAAAATATAATCTCATATGAGTAAATTTAATCCCCGTCAAACATATTTCTTTTGACTTATTTTTGTTTCAATGACTAATTTATAATTATTATTTTGATAATCAAATTTATTTATGTTTCACTAATATTCTTGTAAAACTTATTGTAGAAGACCAATTTTTTTCTTCGAATACGAAATTAAATTACAATACACACAAAAAAAATAATTTAATTTTTTTTCTTTAAACTAAGGAATGAAAGACAAAAACAAAATAAGAATAAGAAACTTAAATCATTATAATAAAAGAAGTCAAAAAATAATTTATGTATGAAAAAAATAAAATATACCTTGAACTTTGATTAAAAAATCATATATACTCCTAAATAATTTTTTTAAAAAAAATTAGAAATAACAAATATAAATTTAAAACTATTTTTTTAACTTCCGTTATATGAAGGGTATATGTGAGTCATTATGTAACAGCAGGGGTATATGTGAGCCGTTTGTATAACGACAAGGGCATATACGAGCCACTTTTATAACGAGGGGTATATCAGCTCCAAATGATAAACTTGAGGGGTATATCAGACCCTTTTCCCTAATTTATATATCAATCCACTACCGACCCATTACTAATTAAACCCCTCTGAATTAATAAATCTGTCACATTATCAATGCAACAACAGATTAGCTACTACCAATTGAGTGTTTTTAAAAATTTGAGGTGAAAATATATATAGAAGTAAATTATCATACATTCAAGTGTCTAAATAAAATTATCGATAAACTTAAAAGTCTGACTATGTTTATCTTAATTATTCTTACATCTCAATTATGTGATGTTACTTCATAGGTAACTTTTTTTAAAAAATAATATATTAAAGGTTTTAAAATAAATAATAAATATTTATAAAATTATATTTTTTAAAAAATGTATGAATTAATTCGGGATGTATTACTTCTTTACCTTTAATCATAAATTTCTCATTCAATCTTGAAAGAAATTGTCCTCCTAAATAAGCGGCTCAACCTAAATTTAATTTGGGTTTCGATTCGAATAATTTTGAATGTTATTTTCAGGAATCTATAATTTCATCGTGTTTTAGTAGTGTTTATGATGATTTTGATATTATAATTGAATTATTAATTGGGTGAGGTTTAGTTAGTAATTAGTGGGTAGTGGGTTGGTTTATAAATTATATTAATAAAATAAATTATAACCAATAGTTGAACGTCAACCATTTTAAAAAAATTTAAAGAGTTTAATTTTAAAACAATTAAAAAAGTGGTCAATTTTGAATCCAAAGGTGGATGACAAGGGTACTTTGGAGCCAATAGGTGGATGAAAAGGGCATTTTGGAGCCAATAGGTAGATGAAGATAATTTTATACCATTTTCAATACTTCAAAGATATTTTAGGTCCTTTTCCGATTTTAAAATGAAATCAAAAACAAATAATTTTATGTATAAAATAAAATTTTAAAATTACATATATAATGTCGGGTTAATTTGTCTCGAGTTTTTTTTAGTTAAAACCAAACAAACTCAAAATATAATCGAATTTTTTTTCAATATCAAATCAAATCACTAGTCGAAATTTTTTCAATTTAACTCAATTTATAATTTAATTTAATTTTTGGTTCAATTTTATACACCCTAATAATATGGACTCTTGTAATTTTGAAAAAATCAATAATTTTTTCACTTCAAGTTAGGACTGTTCTTAATAATAAATGGTTGAAATAACTATTTGATTAACTAACATTTCATTAGTAAAAAGTTGCAATTATCTCTGACAATTGTAAAATTCAGGATAACTAATTCTTGATTATAGATTTCTTTTTTTATCGAATTCTCATGAAGTGGTAATATCGAAGAATATATGAAGTGAATGAAAAATTCGATATCGAGAACGTCCAAGATTCATATACAAATGTGCACTTTCGACAACAACGATTGTTTTTTATCATGTTGAATTGAAAATATAAAAATCAAATTGTTTAATAAGAAAGAATTAAGTATTTTCTTTACACTTTTGAGAGGTTATTTACAAATTAAAGTCCGGTAATGTGTGCACTTTTTTGGACTTATTTTGAACTTAAATGATGGTATAAAGTGAATCACGAGGTGTCTTGGTTCCGCACTAAAGTGCATTGTGAAAATTTTGTTAATGTTCAATAGATAACTATACTTTAGATCATAATTTTCATTAGTAGCTATAATTTGTTTAGTGATGATTCATAACAATAACTTAAAAAATTAAATAGATAAAAAGAGGTGAGATACAAGCCGTTTATGTATTTATTATCTTCTTTCATGTTGTTATTTAGATGCTTCATAAATACGTGAGTTAATAATTTTGATAGTCATTCAACTATCAATTGTTTTTACAAAAAGTCACTCAACTTTCATTTTTAATTCAAAAGTTACATAACTATCAATTATTTTCATAGAAAGTCACTCAACTTTCATTTTTAACTCAAAAGTCACTCAATTATGACTTCTTTGCACAGTGATGCAGAGAATCACTCAACTTATTTAATTATTTTTTTAATTAAAATTTAGTGATATAGAATTTTGATTATTAATCAAAATATTAAGAACCAAATATACATCTATTTAAATCATTTAATGATCCACCCCATTTAAGTCGGCCCGCTAAAATTTTAATATTTAACATTTTATTTTACCAGTAATTTCTTAAATCATTCTGCCTCGTCTCCCTATTCTTTTCCTCTATTGCAACTTCTATTACAAATCGTATTGTTAAACTTGTTATTTGTATCATACATTAAAAAAATACTAGAATTTTTATTTTATTTTTCAATTTCATGGTTTCTACGAAACTCTTGGCACCAAAATGTAAAACAAACAACGATTGAAGATAAGGAAAAAACTAAAAATTAATTGTAACATATTTAATATTATATTTTTAGTGGGTCAGATTAAATGGTATATATTTTGGTTCTTTAGATTTTGATTAATAATTAAAATTTCTAGTCACCCCAATCCGCTTTCGAAAAGTCTTACGAACTCCTTTAACGTCGCAAGAATAAAGTTAACAAACTCTACTTATTATATGATCCATATATTTCCCCAAATTATCCTAAAATTCGCCTTTTGCCCTACACCACACTTTTGCTCACATTTGATTCAATTTTAATTCAACCTTAAATCTTCAAATCTAAAATTTTCTCCCTCATTTTTTCCCCACTAATAAATCATCTATAATTACGAGGCGGATCGTTACAATCGACTTGTCACAATAATTAACAAATATACTCCTTCTATTTATAGTTATTTGTCCATTTTTAAATTGTCACACTTATTAAGAAAACAGTAAATTTACCATTTTATCCCCTATTAATTATGAAATGAATGAATTAAAAATTTAAAATTTTCAAAAAAATTCAACCCTTTTAAAAATAACTGATTAAAAATATTTTATATTTTTTGATTTGTCAAAAAAAAAAATCAAAGACGGAGAATTAAATTACATTTTTTTGTTTATATATCCCAGTCATTTTCAAAAGCCTTCCATTTTGTGAATCTAGCCACCCCACTACGGTCCATACCCTAACCAATACACATGCGATTAAAATTCTTTTTCTTTTATCAACATTCATGTGACTACTGTCTGAAGCTGGATAATTGTCTTCTTCTAGCTTTTAAGTGAATTTGAATAATTTATTTTATTATTTTAAAGAAAATATTTTTTATAACATATATTAATTTATAAAGTTGTAAAATTCATTTTCCTTTTTTAAACTCCAAATTAAAATACGCCACGCAATTTGAGACAGGGAGTAGGATTTAAACTGGACATCTCCACCGAAATAATAGCGTTTTTTTTCCTGATAGAAAAGAAGGAACTTTATTGCTATGACTGATACTTCTCTTCCTATCCAAAGGTATTGCTGCAACTATTTATAACTCAATTTTGCTTCTTGTTTCTTTCTATGTGTAATTTTATTTTATTTTTTGTAAAATTGGGGAATTATAAGGTGGCAAATATAGCTTAACTAATAGAGTAAAAAAGCTATTAAGATTTGTATTTTCTTATTTTAGGGGAAAAGTTTGGTAGGATAGGTTTTATTAGCATTGACATTTGTGAGCCTTGACTTTTTTCTTTAAAATTATGTTTTTGATTTGAGGATTAATTTTTGATTGAAAAATTGCAAAACCTAGAAATGATTTGTTTGAAAATACACCAATTTGATGTCATTGTAAACATTGTGGATTTACATCAAAACTTCCAAAGAGTCCACCATATAATTTTGTATCAATAATACAAAGGCATAATATATAAACGAAACGCTTAACTTTGGTTTCAATTTTGTCGACAACTAAATATTCCAACTTGTACATAGTGGAGATGAGTTGAGGGGTAGAGATGTGTACTCTCAATGTTTGTGTACTTACTTGCCAGTTGATGCCAAGTTTTTTTTTATGACAAGCGAAGCCCCGCAATCACTACCCTTTTAGGTGCGAGCAGGGTAAACTTCGCTCTTCTGCAATAGCTTGTAAACCACACAAGATAGCTAACTGTACTAGGCAAGTCTCTGTGCGATGAACTCGACCTTCCCTCTGTTGTTATAAGCAAGGGGTTTTGAAATTGAGACCTCCATTTGGAATTCCCAAGCCAAACCATCAGTTACATCTCTAGGGGCCTTGTTGCACCAAATCCTAGTGTATAATTGTGCTTAAGATTAATCCCCCAAATGTCAGCTTGATCTGCTTGTTGGCACCGATTAGGATCATCGAAACATCCTGAAAGATGTATAGAGTCTGCTATGCTCTAAAATAATCTATCGTTCCTCTCCTTCTGAGTGGACTACCGGATTGTAGATAGAGTGGTACACCAACATTGGTGGAACTGCAGAGCAGTGTATGATCCATGCTCTCACCAATTGTAGTTCACATACAGAACCAACAGACTAGCTGTCTGTCTTCTCTTTATCAAGTTGTGTGACATTAGCATAGAACTCCTACATGTATACCTTATGAAGACATTAGGTGCTTTCATCTGAATATGGACCTACATGTGGGCCTAGAATCACTGATATCAATTGAACAATCACAGTGTGGCTTAGCCGGTAACCTCTCCAAACACTTTGTTCCAAAACTAGCTTAAAGTATCTTCACAGTATTCATCAATATGGTCCTGTTTCCTGTTTAAGATAGGTCATCTAAAGGATATCGCAATATGATATCATCTTGTTGAAGAAGTTCAGCTACTTGAGCTTCCTTGTGCATTGTAATCTGCAGCAAGCAAGGAAGCTCATATTTCAGGCTCCAACACCACATAAACAACAGATGTGTACCAATTCCATTAGCATAGTAAGACCAGCATTTCTTGAGAGCTCATTCCATCACTTCATGATTCCTTTCTGTAAAGGTCGTCATTTAATGTTTACGACGTAATTGCAGAAGCATTCCTGTTGTTGATATACATATCTTGCGAGGATCGCCATCTTCTATAGAGAATTCTCTTTGCAACCAAACCTCCCCAAGATGAACTTATTACAGATGAAAAATGTGCTTATGTTCCGGACTCTCCCCTCAGTTAGAGCTATCGTTATTCCATTCCACCAGATTGTATCTCCTTCCCGCCTCTACCCTTTCCATAAAAAGCCTCACAATATTTTCTTGATTTCTCTTAGTGTATAAGGTAGGTATAATGAATAAAAATGTAAATTTTAGTCTGTATACTCGACATAATAATCTAATTAGGATGGTTTATCCTTTTCTTCACTTATGTACGAGAAGCTACAACAACGACAAAGATTATCGTATTGATGCATAACGAGATACTCCATCCTCCAGTCTGAGTTAATTCCAGATGCACAAAGACAAAAATTTACACCTTCTCATCTGGGATTAACTCAGATTTTTTCTTATTGATGCGTAACCGAAAGCTTTCCCAAAGCACACCATGGTTTTGTACAAGCCACCGTGTATTTATCTTGTCTGCAGTTCACAGAGGATCAATGTGATATGTGCAATCAAGAGGTGTGATATGGAAACTACCTTACTGTTTCCGGAAATAAAAGGAAGAGGTTTGACATGGACTCATCGTCCCTTGCTCCTCTCTTTACCTCAAACCCAATTAGGTAAGAAAAGCCTGCACATGCACATTGCCTGGGGGTTATATTTTGAAAAAATTATCTATCCACCAGGGATGCACTGTTTAATGCACCTTTTATGATGTGAACTGTGAAACACATTTCAATACTTTTCCTCTGTTTCTTCTAGTGGTATGGTGCTAAAAGGATAGACTTAGAAACAGGATTAGTTTTGACCCTTCAATGCAGTTTCCCTTTCTTTCTAGCATCTGAGTTTCTGGACTAGCAAATCCATGAGGTATGTGTATCGTTCTCACTTTTTAGTCCATTCTTACCATCACTTAGAATAGCATATTATCGAATGAAAATTGCATTCTCTATGCCAATGTTTTGATACAAACGGATCGGAATATGCATTTATAAAATCTCGAGCTGGTCTAGATTTGTGTAAGGTACTTGCCACTGGTTTTGTACCTATAATCATATTTCCCTCTCTTGTTTTTCTCCGAAATCCCATGAAATGAAATTTTCAGCTTCTTTATTACTTATTACTTGACTATGGCTTGGGAAAAGACTATTTCTCAGGAGAAAAAAAAATGATTCAATGGCTGATCAAATGTAAATGAACTTGGGAATCACGATAGCACAGGAGAACCCAAAGTACTTCCTCTGATAAGTCAGATATTAGCAGATTTTGTCAAACAATGATTTGTTCTATTTCGCTATTGCTGGTTAGATATAAAGTTACCTGCAGGCTGAATTAGCTATCACAAGAGGAAAGAAAATAGGTACTCTAGGTATCTTAATGATATGGCAATAACTTTGATGACATGGAAATACATAAGTTTAAATATTTTAAATTTTCAAGTTTCAAAAGATATTTATCTCAACAAGATTCTAGACATACTCTAATCCTTTTAAAACTCTCTAAATTGATCATTTGTATTGTTCTACACAACCTTTTAGCATATCTACTGTCAAGGTCTAAATCTGTTCTCCATGAGATCTACAACCTTCTTACTGATCACTAGGTCACACCCTTGGATGCAGTTTTGAATCATATTATGGTACTTAAGTAATCAAACTACTTGCAAAAGTTGTACTATCAGCTTAAGCACAACTTCTGTCTCTCGTTATTTGTCCTTTTGGTCGTAAACAACACTGGTGTAAGAGGTGTCATCCTTTTCCCTCTCCCCACATTTTTTGCCTCTAATTCTGATCCTTCCTCCCCTTCTCCCCTAAATGCGAATAGTGTGTTCAAGTTATAGATTATTTCCTGCTCAACCATTAAGATGCTGAGTGGAACATAAGAGTTCTCACTCTTCTCTCAGTCTCTTGTTAGGAATGTTGAAGATTCAAATCCTTCCTTTGACAGGGAAATGCTTTTCTTTTTTCATTATATGCACTTAAATGTTATCTATTTTTCCCGGAAATTCACTTGACCATTCATCTGATATATCAGGTTATTGGGAAAAGTTGCTTTAGTCACTGGAGGGGCAACTGGCATAGGAGAGAGCATAGTACGTCTATTTCATAAGCATGGTGCAAAAGTATGCATTGCTGATATTCAAGATGAAGTTGGACAGCATGTTTGTGAGACCCTTGGTAATGACCAGAATGTGTGCTTTATCCACTGTGATGTGACTGTAGAAGCTGATATTAGTAATGCAGTTGATTTTACGGTTCAAAAGTTTGGTACACTTGACATAATGGTTAATAATGCCGGGTTGTCTGGGCCCCCTATTGGAGATATCCGTGAATATGAACTTTCTGTGTTTGAAAATGTGCTTGACGTGAACTTGAAAGGTACTTTCCTTGGAATGAAGCATGCTGCTCGCATAATGATACCACTAAAGAAGGGAGCAATAGTATCTCTGTGCAGTGTGGCAAGTGCCATTGGTGGAGTCGGACCTCATGGTTATACAGCTTCCAAGTATGCTGTTTTGGGACTTACACAGAACGTTGCAGCTGAGTTGGGAAAACACGGTGTACATGTGAATTGTGTTTCTCCTTATGCAGTTCCAACTGGATTAGCTCTGGCTCACTTGCCTGAGGATGAGAAGACTGATGATGCAATGGAAGGTTTTCGTGATTTTGCTGCCAGGAATGCTAACTTGCAGGGGGTGGAATTGACGGTTGATGATGTTGCTAATGCCGTGCTTTTCTTAGCCAGTGATGAATCAAGGTATATAAGTGGGCATAATCTGATGGTCGATGGTGGTTTCTCGTGTGTTAATCACTCCCTTCGGGTCTTCAGATAGCTGTATGTTGATCGATCTTATTGGGAACTTTCAAGAGATTGTCATCCTGTTTGTGATTTTTCCATTCAAACAAACCTGCTTATGTTTCCAAAGCACTATGCTAAAACTAGACTTATCCTTTGTGAGGAGTTGCTTTGCAATTTGTGTTGAACTCCAACTGATTAGTGATTCCCTTTTTATGATTTCTTTTGGAAATTTGTGGAGTAAAAGTCAATACTTTTTTTCCTCATGAACTTTTCATTTCCTAATTTCTAAATCTTTGGGTTAAGAAAAAAAATTGCTCTTTTTCGTTTTGTTTTAATCAATTTGGTATTGATAATGTGCTATATACTTGGTTTTATTTCACATTTATGTCCTCTAACTTTGAGTGTAGATAAGTGTATAAAGTTGAACAAATAGATAAATGAGTCTTGTATAGGGATAGTGCAAAAATCGAACCAACCGACAAAATTGTCTAATGAATTGCTAACCCTAAACCATCTCATAAAAATGATTTTGTAAAAAAATCATGTCCAAAATTTGAATTTTGAGGAATTTAATTAAGAATGACAATCAACTCACCATGGTTCTTAACCAATTAAGAAGGGCTAATGAAATGTTGCTAGCATTTGGTGATAAATTATAAAAGTACCAATCTCCAAATACTTTTAAGTTGGTAAACATTTACTCATATCAAATTTCAGATTTTTACTCACAAAAATTTGCATTTTTCCCCAAGTAAATACATATATTCAAATATAATTTCAATTTTCATAAGTTCTTTTTTTTCTAGTTTCAAATTCAAAATTAGCTTTGACTGTGTACACAAAAGTATATGTTAATGTGTTGTGAAGTTTGTAGTATGAAACTTGGCCACATGCTATCCACAAAACACCTTTCACTATCCAGTTTCTGATAATCAGTTAAACCATAGCCCTTCCACAAACTTTCCCTCCCCTTCTTCTTCAACAATCCAACAAACAAAAATGTCAGTAGCATCATCTTCTTCCTTCCCCTGCATCAAAATTCAAAACCCATCTTCTTCTTCATTATCATCCTATAATTTCAGATTTTCTACTACACTTACCATTAGGAGTTCTCAAGCTGATGGCCCTTTAAGAAGACCTATGGTACAACCCCCAACCCCTCTCAAACCTACCCCACCATCACCACCTTCAACTTCTTCGCCACCGCCTCCGTCTCCGCCTAGTGCTCCGCTTAAGCAGGTTGCAGTGGAGGGCAAAAATGTAATTACCATGGAATTTCAGAGGCAAAAGGCTAAGGAGCTTCAAGAGTATTTCAAGCAGAAGAAGCTTGAGCAAGCGAATCAAGGTCCCTTCTTTGGCTTTATTGGCAAGAATGAGATTTCTAATGGCAGGTAATTAATTAACAATTTGAGAGAATTTGGATTCATTTAGTTTTAAGTAGTAGCTATAGTATCCTTAATTGCTGTTTTCAGTTTTAATTAATACAAGTTTTTTGGCATTGATCTAACTTGTTCCAAAGTGTGTGTTAGCGAAACAAGCAGAATTTAGTGCTTTAATTTGGTTTAAATTGGAGATTAGATAGAGATACCTAAAAAAGTAAACATTTATGTTTCCATCATATGGAGCTTAAGTTGAGTTTTGTTTCTCGAGAGTCGAATCTCAATAATGGATCACACCTATGGCCCCAGTCCTTCGAATGACTGAATGGCTTAGAGGGCATTATGCGCGGTCACCAGTGCAATTTGTGCATCTGTAGGTAGAGGGTTCAGATAGAGTAAGTAGTTCGTAAAAAAGGAGTTCCCTGGTTGGTACCGATAGATAGAGCTACTGGTAAGATAAGAAAAGGCCGTTGAGAGTGGAAGGAGTAGCTGTATAGGGACCAGTTAGGGTGACAATCTAGTATAGCATTGCTAACAGGTCGGTCAGTCGAAAGCAAAAGCAAAACTTCTCATATCTCTATGACTCTTTGTGTTCTCGTAAACTCAAAGTGATTGACTATATTCAGAATACTTTTGATTCTTGAACTTGATTATCATTAAATCCATTGAAGAGATATTTACTTGTGATGGTTTGGCAAAAACACCTTCAACCGAATCTTCTTGAATCCTTCGCTAGAAAAAAAAAGCTTTTAAGGTTTCACCATTACGTTGCCTGCTGCATAGTATTGTTGCCTATGGACATAATGTATACAACATGCACAGTTTGACTGGATGGTGAAATCATCGTTATATACATGTACAGTTGATCATGTGCTTTCTAAGAAGCTTGCTCTTTTTCTTAGACTCTTAACAATGGGCATTCGGAAGCATTGATAAAAAAAAGTGGTATTTTCTTGATGGGATGGACAACCAAACGTGCAGCCAAGCTATGTTGGAGTTAGAAACATAGTAGGAAAACGCGCTGCAGTTCACTTTACGAAATAGTGGCTCTGATACCAGACACCAGAAAGACTTTTCAGGCTTATGATGATCGATCGATCATAACTCTCATGTCCTTCACAGTTATAGAGACATACATTCTTTCAGGTGTAGCTGACTTTCTAAAACAATTTTGTGGTAGCTGACATACATCCTTTTGCCGTTGTTTATTATCAATTGCTTAGAGGTGGTAAAAAGACGTATAAGTTGGTGAGCTGATAGTCGAATTAAGCTTTGAACATAGTTTCTTACAAGCACTTTGGAATGATAAGTTTTTAAGCATTAACTTGTACTGATTATCTATATATCTGTTGAACAGATGGGCAATGTTTGGTTTTGCTGTTGGGATGTTAACAGAATATGCAACTGGTTCTGACTTTGTGGATCAAGTTAAGATCCTTCTCTCAAATTTTGGGATACTAGACTTGGAATGAGGTTCCTCCATATCACTAAATCTTGCCATAAGATACTTTCCTTTGTAATTTTCTGTAAAAGAAATACAATTGCTTTCTTTCAAATTTCATTTGTTTGAGCCCCTTCATTCTACTATATACAGTATAGTTAACACACTCCTACCTGTGTTATTATTCACGTAAGAAAAGGAAACAACTGATAGTTTTGATGTGAATTTGTGAAAAAAAAGTGATAGTTCATTATGTTTTTTTACTGTGTAACTCGTAATTGTTGTAGTCTAGTTGGTTAGAGTAAGCGATTCTCTCGTGCTTGCTTTTGTAGGCTTAAAAATCTCGAAATACGGAATCGAAAATTACCTAGGTTCTGGAATGAGCTAAGTACCATTTTTCCCCCCTTTAATGGGACAATTTTAGATGAGCTCGTTGCTAATCAATTTATTTCTAAAATTTAGGTCGTTTCACATAGCATGGGCAAATTTGACCGTTTTCACTAGATATTGACATGCTTTAGTTTTTTTGATATACGAATCATTTAAGTTTAATCGAAAATTTATACAAAATCTTTAATTTATTTGATTTGAAATTTGTATATTACTAAATAATACACGATAATTAACAATTCAAAATATTCAAAGATATAAAAAATTATGATTAAAAATAAATTTATTTGAATCTTAAAATCTAATATATATCACCAAAATTAAAATTGAGAGTATATACTAAATTCCTTTCTTGTTCAAGACAACACTTTTTTTGGCAGTAGCCATCATTAGCTCAAATCACTATGTTTGGATGGTTGTAACTTGTACCGTACATTATTTTAAATATATAATATTTACTTAAATTTTGTTGCAACATACCATTAAATTTATTAGTACTATTATAGAATGTAATAACAAAAAAAAAAAAGAAATTTGTGCAACAACTTATATACTTACAGTGGCATTGTTACCTTTTCTTTTAATTTTTTTTTTTGACTTTGTTTATTATTTATCTTATTTTAATCTTTAGTCTACATTTTTATTTATAAATCTATTTCATATTATGTGTTTCTTTTGTAAGTTTATTATTACATGACTGATATGTAATATTATATGATGGCATGAAATGTCACGATTTATTTAAATATTATATTTATTGAAATAATATTAAGTAATATACAATACAATATATTACGAGACTGTGGAACATAAATATATCCAAACAAGCTAAAGAATCGTTTTCCACAGCCCACAGCAGTAAAATAGCTGTAGCGTCGTATCATAATTTACTAAGATTAATTTCCGCCTATTAGTGCTAACACAAAAAGAAGATGACACACACGTCAAGTTAATTAATTAAATACTTTGAGCATCGTCTTGCTTATTCTTCAATACTATTAGCCGTATTATTAGTTATGATAATACTACCGTAGTTAAGAGTTTGGTTATTATCTATTTTTTTTACATTTCTATTGTTGTTTTGTTTTATTATGACTATGGTTAGAAATTAGGATGATTTAATGATATTTTGCCATAACTTTCTACATTTGCATATTTCTTTCTGTATACTGCTTTAATTGTATTTTTTTTGATCTAGGAGTAGGGTGGAGCTACCTTGTATGAAGGGCAGAAAATTTATATTATTTATACATGATTAAAATAGGTTTTTTATGCATATATAGTAAATATCAAATTCCCTTCGGCTATCTATTTCTACACATTTTGAATCCATTATTGAAAATCCTAGCTTCGCCTCTATCTAGGAGTCTATCGGAAACGACTTCTCTACTTCTAAGGTGTTTATCCCGGCTTCATTTATGTAAAATTACACCAAATATACTATAATTGTAACTCGAAAAAGTTTGATTTATCTTTGTTATTAGTTACTATACATAAGTTAAACTCTAAAATATTTATAACCTATTTTACCACGTGTTTATTCTAATAAACTCAATTAATATGCCAACTAATGAAGTAAACTACAACAACATAAAGACAATATTAATGTTATTCTGAAAATTGCCGGCCTTGCCGGCTTAATTCTTCACTTTCATCAAATTTCCTTTTATTCTCTCTCTCTATATATATTCTCATATTTTTAGCTCAGCCTGCAGTTTTTTCCATGTTTCTTCTTTTTGTTGGATTTGATCAACAATTCATGACTTTTTCTTGACAATATGTCACAATTTTATAGTCTGTTCGGTTAAGTTTTCAAAATCTGTTTATTTGGAAGAACTTTTAGAAACTAACCGTTTATGTTTGACTAATCAATTTGCAAAACACTTTTGCCAATAGCACGTGGTCAAGTTCCAAATGTGCTTATAAGAGTAACTATGTTTTCGCTCAAAAACACTTATTTTATTCATAAAAACTTAACCAAACGCCTCAACTCGAGCTTTTAAATTTTCAAAAGCTTGGCCATTCTTCAATCTGATTTCAACTATTTAAGAAACTTGATTAGATATTCCATCTCATGGGGTGTGTTCAAGCAAAGGCTTCAATGCATTCGCCGCCTCGGGGACTAGAGAAGTTGAAATTAGAGAGTGGATATGTTGGTAGAGGAGAACATGTTAGGCCAAGGAGGTCTACTGGACAGAGGCCTCATGAACTAATTAGGGAGAAAAATGCTGGTGGTAGGAGATTAAGTGATGCAAACAGAGATACTATCACACATGAGGGAGAAAAAAAACAAACTAATGATGTTGGTAGGAAAATTACCAAAACAACAACAACAACTCATGAGGAGGAAGAGTTAATAGATGGATGGCCAAAATGGTTAGTAGATAATATTCCAAGAGAAGTTTTGGCTGGTTTAGTCCCAAAAAGTGCTGATTCTTATGACAAAATTGATAAGGTATATGTAATAATCATCTTAATTTCCCATCTTTTTGAAATGTGGGATGCTGGAATTAGCGTTAGAGTTTATGTTCTATGCACTGACGGTATAAAGAAAGAAACTTTTACTCTGTCAGGTTATGTTAACATGAATAATGTGTTGTTGTAATGGTTACTTGCATATATGCACTGCAGTGAGTAGTGAAATTGAATTTAATGCAAGTTTTTTGATATTTTAGATAGGTTCGGGGACTTATAGCAACGTATATAGAGCACGAGACAGGGATACTGGGATGATTGTTGCCTTAAAGAAAGTTCGTTTTGATACCTCAGAACCAGAGAGTATAAAGTTCATGGCTCGAGAGATTATGATCTTGCAGAAATTGGACCATCCAAATATCATAAAGCTTGAAGGATTGGCTACTTCTAGAATGCATTATAGTCTTTATATAGTTTTCGAATACATGCAGTCTGATCTTACCAGCATAATATCTAGCCCTGATAGGAGGCTCAATGAAGCACAGGTCAGCAGCATATTTTTCTAACCATTCTTTTCAATTGCAAGTGCTGATTTTGGAAGCGTTTTGTTTGGTATCAGATTAAGTGTTACATGCAGCAGCTGCTTTCGGGGCTGCAGCATTGCCACGAGAGGGGTATTTTGCACCGAGATATTAAGGGATCCAATTTGTTGATTGACAAAAATGGGATGCTAAAAATTGCTGATTTTGGACTTGCAAATCACTTTAATCCTGAAAAGAAACGTCCTCTTACAAGTCGAGTTGTCACGCTTTGGTACAGAGCTCCAGAACTACTATTAGGTGCTACTGATTATGGAATAGGTATTGATCTTTGGAGTGCAGGCTGCCTCATGGCTGAAATGTTTGCAGGCAGGCCCATTCTCCCAGGTCGCACCGAGGTACTAGCTTAACTTTGAAAAAATTTCCAATGTTTGAAAATTCTAAAGGGTGTTTATGTATGATACTATAAATGTTGAAAATTGCTCTAGGTGGAACAGCTGCACAAGATATTCAAGCTCTGTGGTACACCTACAGAGGATTACTGGAGGAAAACGAAACTTTCGACTACCTTCAGGCCACCATATACCTACAGGTCTAACAAGAAGGAAGCTTTCAGGCACTTCCCTGCATCTTCTTGGAGGCTCTTAAGCGTTCTTCTTGCGCTAAATCCTGCAAATCGCGGTTCTGCAGGTTCAGCTCTCCAAGATGAGGTAAATGTTAATTGAATTATTAATTCAATATCCATCCTAGCTAACTACAAGTTTGTGATTCTATTTAGAGGTGATTGGTTAAATGAAATGCTTCTGTCTTTTGATTTCGGAAAATTTTTCAATGCAGTTCTTTAGTACGAGCCCCTTGGCATGTGAACTCTCGGAGCTGCCTGTAGTCTATAAGGAGGATCCTGAGGCAGAATTAAAGCTTGAGAGGAGAAGGTAAGTGAGCTCGTTTATACGTCAGAATTCTGTGTTTAGCGTTGTTAGATCCAGATATAAGTCGAGGTTATGGACTATAATCCTTAATCCGCACCTCAAAAGTTAGCTTTTGCGTTTGAATTAGGTCCCAAGTCCATTTTCGAAGAATATGTCAAGCTTGAGCTTAGTTTGATCAGTTTTGCTAAGTTCTTAACTTGTTTTCTGTTTTCCAAACTCCGATCGGATATCCCAAAGACTGCCTTGTTTTTGTAGAACAAGAAAGAAAAATACAAAATTGCAGCAAAACACACTACACTAACAAAACAATAATGACTTTTGCCAATAAAGTTTCATGTCCTGTTACATTCCCTAAATCTAACAATCCCAAACTTAAGTCTCTGTTGAAGTGAATCGACATTCATGTTCACGTTATTTTGTTTCCCTTTCCTGCAGGCACAAGACTCGACAACGCTCTCAATCACAAAAGGAACGAAAAAAGAAAGTAATAGATGAAGAGGAAACAAAACCAGACGACGTTGGCTCTAATGAGGTACATTGCTCAGTTTTTACTCCTATCAAACACTAAGATCAAACACTTGAAAGCGAAGAATTGTATGTTGCAGGAGCCAATAAAGAGTAGACTTTCAACAGTTTTTAGACAACTAGAGCCAGGAAGTAGCAGTACTACTATTACTACTACAACTACTACAAGCACATCTTCAAGTACTTCAAAGCCAACTGAGAAATCTCAGAGTTCTCAAACAAGTGCTGAATCTCATCCTAATTCCACTACGAACGTCAAGAATAAACCTCCGTTGCCAAATGCTAGAAGAAGCCGAGCTAGTAAGTACAGCAGCAACAACAACAAGGACGCGATGAACAGATTGAGTCGAGCCCAAAGGTCTCAATCAAGCAAAGATTTTTCGAGATCTTGATCATCAAAGATTCCATAAGCTTCACAACATTGTTGACTAAAGTCACTTACAACACACTAAGTTATGCTGATAGTGCAAAAAAATCTTTATACCATCGGTGTATATACGTTTAATTATTTTTTTTTCTAAAGTTTGGTTTGCAACTTATAATTGGTGGGGTAAATAACTTGTTGCCTATACTAAAATTTATACATTACATTGTGGAATTGTGAAAAACTATATTTTAAGTTATTGAATAAACAAGTATAGAAAAATGACATTCTTTTCGGAGCAGAATAAAAAATAAAATTACTTTGTTTCCCCTCCCATAAATAGAGGTTCATGATTTGATATAATCAAATTTTCATCAAGATTATTTTTTTAACACTAAAAGCAACCAACTTGTTATTATCATTATAGCATCTAATTCCTTGAAACAAAAATCTCATAAATAAATCCAAATTGATATTTATTGAAAAAATGAATTGGGAAATCAACCCATACATTGATCGTGCCCTTTTTTCTTTTTAGGATAAGAGATTGTTTATTCTTTTTACTTTATCGTCATCTTATGAATCTGTTTATTTTTTATTACTTTATCGTCATTTATGAATCCGTTTAACCATTAAAACTATTCACTTTTTTTAAAAGTAATTATTCACTTTACATGAATATTAGTTTTGGATCAAACTTGAAGTTGAATTTCAAATTTGAACAATGTTCTCTTCTTTCCTTTTGCAAAAATATAGCCAAAGACAATTATATTTTAACTTCAAAAAAATACAAAATGTCATTTTTATGATCAAACGCCTACTATATGTTTTTGAATATTTTACACCCCGTCTATCCAGAGAAATCAATTGGGTGTACAATACATGTGTACGATCGAATTATTCTCAAAAAAGAATTACTGAAATCCTTACAAAATGGTGATTAACATTTGATTTACTTTTTTAAGGCACTCGTATCATAAAAAAATTAATGAAATTATAACATGAAAAATAAAGTAAAAATATTAGATCGATGATTTCTTTGTTTTAGACTAAGTTTAGGTGGATAAAAATTTACTCCATTCTTATATTGGTGAGAGGTAAAAGTAAAATGAAACAGTCTAAGTGTATACAAACTAATCAAGAAGAGAAGATTTTAAAAAATAAATATATCAAAATAGTTAAAGCTCAACAAATGTTAAAAACTTTTAACAAATTAAAGAATACACAATCTCATAATCAAAAAGTCACTATTCTGTTGAAGAAAAAAATAGAATCAAGAAAGAAATATGACTTTTTGAGGGTAATAATTATTAGTTGAATGATGACACGACAAATAGAAAATTACTGATCAAATCAACATCAACAATTTCCATCAAAATGAACAAATACCATATTGAAGAAATTAGAAACTTTATATTACAAAGGGTAATTAATTAACTTTTTATTTCTTTTTATATTCTTGATTAACTTTAAACATTATAACGAATATCACTAATTTTAGTCTTGATCCACTTGAAGCTCTCTCTTACAGTAGCTTTAACTTTACCTTCAGTAGTAAACATATTATAAGCTGCAATTCTTTTCTTCCTCTTTATTTCTGGATCATTTGATGGTGCAAATCCTTTTGTTGTTGGACCATTAAATGTGTATACATTTGTTTGATCATCTTGAAAATTCCCAAATTCACCTGAATTATTTGAAGATGAATATTGTGGATAAGATCTACACTTTTCCATAACAATTTTTTCTTGTTTTTCTTGCATTTAGTTATTATTGAAGGGGAGAATTGTTTTTTTTCTTGTGGTGTTGGAATTTTTCATCATAAATATAGTTATATAGAGAGTAAAGTAGCTAGTAGGGCATGCATGCTGACATATATAATAATAATGCATATATTATAAAATATATGTCACATGTATAATCCTTAGTTTAGATTTATTGTAAATTTTATGTCTCTAAAAAGTGAGGAAAAATAAAAGTTGGCTTTGTTGGAAAGTACATACTTTATAGCTAGGCATGCATTTATCAATGAATGTGATCTATCTTTTTGTATGTCATTCCAACACTTTTTTTTTTTGTGGTGCATGTATATATTTGATGTAATGTAACATCTTTCTTTCCGTTTCATTTGTTTCCAACTCCTTATTACAATTCTTTGTAATCTTACTAATATTATGTACAAACTTATCAGATCTGACTTCAGAATTTGAATTTAATAGATTCAACTTTTAAAACCTGACTCTCATAATTCTTGAAATTGAAGGATTAAATTAGTATCAGTCTTATAATTAAGAAAAATGTACCAAAAACATTTCTCAATTATGAAAAATAGAATAATATTTCACTTTGTCTGAATTCGATTAATCTAAATATGTCCTTAACTTAGATTACCCTTCGACTATGAAAAATAGTACTAACAAATTTGATCTCTAATATTTAAATTTAGTCCGATCCTTATCATTGAAGAACTTGCTCAAATTTATCATAATTTTGAATCGAGGGGCATGTAATATTAAAGACTTCCCTAAGTTTCCCAAATATGTTTCCTAACGTTAGGCAAGAAATTTCTTAGAAGATGATGTATGTAAAGAAATATACTATGAATGGAGTGTGAAGGCCATGTGATTATGTTGGGAAGTTGGAGGGGGCTTTGTTGCCCACGCTGAAAATGATGAGAGAAATCGAAAGTATCGGTGAAATCAGAATTTTTAATAAGAGGGCTTAAAATATGAAAAAGTAAATATACAAAGCAATTGAAGGAGGTTCATTATCTACTATACATATATACAATTAATTTTAACCATATATAAGTAATATAATTTTCAATCGAACAAGGCTTGAATGAACCCCCTCGATCCTACCTGACTCCTCCCTAAAGTGAAAGGTCATGAGACTATATTTATTAGGAAGAAAAAACAAAGTGTTGTCTATATTCGTTTTATCTCTCTCAATTCATGTGGTACCGTTCGAATTTGAAAAAATTCCAACATAAATTTTTCAAATACGTTGAAACAAATTTTATACATTTAAAAATTACATAAAATAATATTTAAAATCATGATAATTGATCAAAATATTTATAAAACAAAATAAAAAAAATTATTTGGACTCTCAAAATTTGCAATATGCCACATAGAAGTTGGAAAAGAGGAAGTGACATCTAACATTGAGGGGCTTTGCTCTAATGGGTTCACATGGTGGTGGGCAATTCAACATATCATGTGGGGGCCAAATTTCACAATTATGTCTTTGTAATAAAACTGATAGTTTTTATTTAGAATAAAGGCAACAATAATGCAATTCCAATTAGTAAAGTGTATATAGTCCACATTTTGGTTTGTTTGTAGGGTTACTATATAGTTGAAAGTAACATTTTGTTAATGACCAACTTGTTTAATTAATTTTTTGCTTTTAAGCTTTTGGTTGTGTGAAAAGCCTTCATTTAAGAGATTTATTTGCTTCTTAATTAGGCTAATCATCATTGCCACAAGAATTACATTAACATGGATAGAAATTCACATTTGATTCTTGCTAAATATTTTAACAAAAGATGGACAACTTTAATTCTACTTTGTCTAGTTCACATGGTAAAATATTGCATGAATTATAATATCACTCATGCTTATAATTAATGTTGAAAACATGTTGATTTGCCAATGTGAAGCAATAAATAATTCTCAACAAACTGTTAAAAGATCTGTTTGATGACAATAATACATTATTGTCACAATTGCAAAAGTTGAGAGAAATTGGGATAGTTCATGTTGTATTGAATCATATAGAGTACTTAATTTTTTAGGTCAATTTTACAATATATTTTCTTTTCAATCAGTTGTAAAAAGTTCGGTATTTATGTAATAATATTATTAATATTTTATTTATATTGGGTTCGCATTTATTTGACAGAAATTTACAAGAGTATATTTTTCTATTTTAAAAAATATTTATTTCTAAGGATAATTTCGAAACTTTAAATCATTCTCATATTTCTTAAATTTCATATCCAGTCAAACTACATCATATAAATTAAAAATTTTATTGTGAAATAGATATTCAACATAAATTATCAGGAAGAGGATAAATTCTTTAATTTTCAGGTTTCACAATCTAGATATTCTCTAAGAGATGCAAAAAGAATTGAAGCATAGACCCTATCTTTTCTTTTTCCAACTCATAATAGTTTTGTATTTATTTGATATAAGAAGGATATACTAATAAATTTACACAATAATTAACACACTTTATAAATAAAATCGATTCGAACTATTTTCAAGGTTTAGTAGAGGAGAAATAAAAAATTTCAAATGTTTCTAGATGGTTCATTCACACGGATGTGGGACTCATGCACATATCTAGTCTAGTGATAAGAAAATGACTCGTGACCAATTGGTGAGAATGACCCAGAATATGTTGCAACATAATACTCTATTGTGAAATGCTCGCTAACAAAATTTCTAGCTAGCCCTCCCATTCTATCAGTTACCTTCATGACATGTGAACACGGGAAGTGCATATTAACCCATTTTTCACAATCACATTTTCTTTCATTTAGTGAAACACAATGAGGATTACCACCAGTACCATCAACTTGTATAGATCTAACCTCGTATACTCCTGTGGGTATATTCCAATCAAAAACAAAGTGCCTCTTTGAACTTTCATGATTCTTCTCCCACTTTATTTTGAACCTCCCGGTCCATATTACATTTTGCTCTGCAAGTTGGTGTGCTATTTGAGACCTACGGGTATACCATTCAATAGTTTGCTCCAATGAAAGTCTAATCATAGCAGTGACAGGTAAATCTCGTGCTTTTTTCAACACTCCATTGAATGACTCTGAAAGATTTGTTGTCAACACTCCCCATATTTTTCCATCATCATGGCTAACAGTCCATTTATCCAAGGGAATTTCCATGAGGTATGCATGTGCTTCGATGTTTTCTTCTTTAATTTGCCACATCATGGACTCAAACTTCCTTACTTGATGGGCTGAAGCAGCCCTCCACATCAATCTGTTGAGGTCCTTGTTTGGAAATTTAGATTGAAAGTTGCTCTTAAGATGTCTTATGCAAAATCGATGGAAGACTCGAGGCTCTTGAAATCGCCGCAACTCCTGCAAACTAGTCAAGATTCCTTTTGCCCTATCAGATATAACACATACATTTTGTCTACTTTTTATCACATGGCACTCAAATTTCTAAAAAACCATTTCCATGCCTCTTTTGATTCTTTGTCTACAATAGCAAACTCTAAAGGGAGAATGTTATCATTTCCATCAATTCCAACAGCAATTAATAATTTGATCTCATATTTTCCATAAATATGAGTTCCATCTACTGAAATAACTGGGCGACATGTTTGGAATCCATCAATGCATTGCTTGAAAGCCCAAAATACAAATTTAAAAGTTTTTACCTCCGATGAACTCATAGACTCTTCGTGTTTCCATTCCACAATTGTTCCATGGTTAAAGTGTTGAAAAGCTGCAAAAAAATTTAGGTAGGTCACTAAATGATTTCTTATAGTCACCATACACCAATTCAAATGCGCGTTGATGTCCAAGCCATGCTTTTCTATATGTCACTTGGTGACCAAAATTTTCATGAACCTTTGAAATGACATCTACCACCAAGAACTTAGGATTTTTTCTAATTTGATTTAGAAGTAGTGATGCAATCAAATTGGTATTTAGGTTGGCGTGACCGCTAGAAAGCCCCTCAGTCTCACATCTATGGTTTTCAACATATTTTCCTATCTTCCAAAATTTATCTCCAACTTGTCGTCCTCGAAGAAACCACATACAACCCAATAAATTATAAAACTTACATCTCACAACCCATAGACTTTTGGTAGATGTTACCACCTTGAACTCCTTATTTTTGTGCAAACTCGAAATAGTTACAGCTATTTTCAACTTTTCTTTACTACTAAAAAGCATACCTTTTTTAAAATCTTTTTTTGC